ATGTCATCCTGTAATGAGCCATGCAGTCACATCGAGAAGAACTGAAAGGACAAAATAGTCGCTTTTAATATCTAATGTTTAATTGTATTTGTCTTTGTACTGTTATTTTTTGTGAACCGTTTTAATATTATTTTAAATCTGTCCCATGCGCAAAAACAGAAGCAAGCAGAAGAAAAATATATTTGACAGCAAAATGGATTAGCCTACATTAAATTATTTATAATATTGTTATTACACATTAGGGATCATATTGTGGAACAAATATAAACCTGATGAGGAGGAATTTCAAAATGTACACGAATCATTTATTTGTATTATTTAATTTTTTTATTGTATGCAAAACTCACCCTTTTAGTGATCTCCTAGGTCATGCAGTTCACATTCAAATGTGATGAGACCTAATAAGCATTTATATTTTTAAACGTATAAAAGTATTTTAAAAATTTATAAATGCTGAAAATATAGACGGTTGTAGGCTACCCCTATTTTTATAAACAAATAATTTGCTACATAAAAGTGCTTTTCTGTATAAACTGGCGCCTACACTGTAAAAATAATTACATCTAAATAAGTCAGTTTTTCTTAAAATAACTGCATTTTTTATTAAGGATTTAAGTGAGACACTTTGCCAATGGAAAAAGACAATTTACAAAATAATAATACTTAAAATAAGAAAAAAACAATAGTATTGTCTTATTTCAAGTGCATAATATCCAGATACCTTATTTTAAAAGTAAAAATATTAATTCCATTGGCAAATAATCTTATTCACCTGCCCAAATTAAGGGTAAATACCCTTAATTTAAGACATTTTTACTCATTTTGAGATCGTCTTTTCAGTGTAAAATTTATTTAATGCTTATATAATTAAGTACTTGAGCAATTCATGCAAGACTTTTAAAGAATGTAGCAGCCAATAGATTTTTTTTATTTCAAATTATAGCTGGACATCACTTCAGGTCCACCTGCCAGACTGACTGACTGGAGCGCATCTTAAGGCTTCAATGGCCCAGAGGCATTGTTGCTTAGTGGCAGCAAAGTGGCCCGCTCCGCCTGATTGCGCTAATTGCTCTGAAACAGGATCCATTATGTATAATTATGGAGACCTTGGGCCGGACTGAAGGCTGCTGCTTTCATCTCTCTGCAGGGGGAAACTCATAAAGAGAAACTCACTAAGAATCACCAAAGTTTCAAAGTTATCGTTTAGTTTTTCATCAGGTCTTCAAAAACCCAAATGTTCTCCCTATGATAAGATATTAACCAAGCATGGGGGGTCAGTGTCCCCGGGTAAAAGTCACTCACTACAAGCAAGAGCAAATATTTAACGTAAAAAGCCTTTTTTTACATCCACATCTCCTTTCATGTGTTTTTACAGTTTACATTGACAGAACTCGCATGAAAAGGGTTGAGACAACTTTGGGAGGAGGCAACAATGGGGCCTTTGTCTGCAGTCCCGGCCCCCTGAGGAGGAATCAAACGCAGTTTATGAAGTTAAAGAAAGGCCTGATGGGCCCTAGAGCCTTTCTCTTATTTAACTCGGCCCTCATTTGTTGCCCCGGGGACTGAAATGAAACGAGATGGTAATGGTGTTCTGTGTGTCTCTCTGGAAAGGCTGGAGTTTGGGATGTGGACTAGGACCAAAGTCCTGCAGCTGCCACATCCAGCCCAAACACTCCCAAGTCTGTATAGTGCAGCTGTTAGGTGCTGCATTTATGAAATCCTTGTTTCTGTGATCATATTTTGGTGATGTAAGAAGATTTAGGAAGATACTTGTTTATTTGAATTCTAGCAGGAGAGGGTAACCTTGACAAGTCGATAAAGCTACACAACAAACACGGAGATTAACATTGCAGGGCAGAAAAATGATCTGTGTTCAGCGGGATGTTTCCTCCAGAACATTAGTAATACTTTTTTTTGTTTAGGTTATCTAATATTTCACGAAACTACTCAGAAATAGCAAAATACTCTTGTTACTCTTAATTGTGTTAAATTATTTAAATGCAAAAACAGTCAGTATGTATATAAATACATGTATGCATATATATACATATATATATATATATATATATATATGGTCATTTAATAGCCTACATGACATTTCTTCTACGAAAAGGATTCTGTTCTGTTCTGTCCGTTTCGTACCCTGCACAGATTGGTTAGAGCGGCCGAATCCACATTAAGAGAAAACGAACTCAAATGTATTTTTTGTTTGTTTCCTATAAAAAGCCCCGTTCTACAGACGAATATCAGTGAAAGTAGGCTATATTGTTTGACTCCTGGAGATCATTTAAGAGTTGTTTATGAATAATCCGCGGTCACAATGTGTAATCGTTTTGACCTCATCAGATAATAGAGTCTAGTAAGAACAAATAGGGACATCAATACATTCTTTCATACAGTGTTCATAATAGAATAACAAGAAAAATAAACTGCTATACAGTAGTTTGTGTAGATTAATGCGAAATGTTTTATTTAATATGTAGGGAATGATACCAGGAAGGAAGGAAATGGTAACGATTGAGATATAAAAGGGCGAATTGATCCCAAGCTTCAAAGTCACCACCCTGCCTGTTGTGTATTAGTGCGAAGGCACACTCCTGCACTAAGGACTGTGTTAAGTGTTTAAGCCCCCAGGCAGGAGGGGAGGGGGGGGGGGGGGGTCAGCTGGATGAGAGACCAGAAGACCTGGGTGCCATTTAAAATCCTTCAGTGTTGTATGTTTGGGAGTTTATGTGTCACAAACCCCCCTTGCATCATCTACTGATACAAAACTGGACAATACACAATACACTACAAGCCTCTCCAAATAGCTAATTATTGACCTTATCTGCTATCTTTATTGCGTTGGAGAACAGGGGCGCCTCACAGCAAATCATAGTGTCACCTTGAATGTCGATGGGAAGCAGGACTTAACCATGAGCGCACCTGGACAAGGCCAGGCTTAATGAGGGTTAATAATCCGAGGAGAGTCACACCAGCGGCCCACTGTCCATCCATCCACGGCCACAGGTTCAGCGCTGATGTGTTTCTCGTGAAACCTTTGCTCCGTGGAATCCTTCAAGCGCTGCGCTCACACCAACCTGTAGGCGCAAAGCCACGCAGCCTCCCATTGCAAGACCCTGATTTAAACAGAGTGCCGAAGCATGTGATCAGTTAAGAAAAGGCACATTTCTCAGGCTGAATGACTCAGTGTCCCTGGGCTAGGGCGAGCAGAGGAAGAGGAGGAGGAGGAGGAGGAGGAGAAAGAGGAGGCGGAACCGCGCTCTCTCGGGTGCGAGCTAAACCTTTTTTTTTTTCCTGCCCAATAGTCTCCTTAAAAGCGCAGCCCTTTGATGCGGGCCGCTGCTGGCGCCTAAGAACAACATAAGTTGTCTGCTCATTAAGGAGGCTGACAAATCGTGACAGATTGTTTATGAGAGGTAATTAGGTACAATACCCTGAGAAGTGATGCAATAGAATAGGCTTTACTTTTCACCCTGTAGGCAAAGATAGATAGATAGATAGATAGATAGATAGATAGATAGATAGATAGATAGATAGATAGATAGATAGATAGATAGATAGATAGATAGATAGATAGATAGATAGATAGATAGATAGATAGATAGATAGATAGATAGATAGATAGATAGATAGATAGATAGATAGATAGATAGATAGATAGATAGATAGATAGATAGATAGATAGATAGATAGATAGATAGATGGGATTGAGAGATAATAAATGCCCATACTCTCCCAAACCTTATGTGAGCAGATTTTAAATGGTAAAGCAATATATTAGAATAGAAACAAACTGCTGATAGGAATTGGGTCTCAGTATAATACTTAACCACAACATGTGGTTATACCAAGGAATTGTAAATAATAGGCTAAATCAACCTACCTCCATTAATATCTCCTGATATATCCAAAAACTGAAAACCTCTGGGGTGAGTTAAAGAGAGGGGAGAGGATTATATTTTTTTCTGGACAATTTGGAGATGTGTGCTTAAACCATGTGAATTATAAGAGAAGAAGACAAAATGCTTTCCTTGTTGCTAAGGATGGCTTTCTCCTATGTTGTGTGCATTATAAACAATCATTATCTCAGCAAGGATTTGTAACGCTCACCAAATTTACCATAATTAAGGTTTATTTTTTCTAATATTGTAATTGCTATGAAAGATTTTCAATTTATTTTCAGAATCAGAATAAAAAATATGTAGAGAACACTACATTAAAGGGAAGCCAAAGCCAATCCTGTCAGTAGGCTGATCTATAATGGCATTTTTCAGCTTTTGTTATCAAGAAAAATACTTCACAAGATTCTAGGACTGGATGATGATTTTACTTTCAATAGCTAAAGCAGTTTGGCAGCAGTGCAACAGACATGTTTGCTTAACCCAGAGGAACTGATTACTGCTGAATACAGCAAATGTTAGTAATTTCTTCTTATCTGTAGATTGTTAACTCATGTATTACTTTTTAAAACCTTTAGGAGGATTTTACTTGTGCGTAAAATGATTACCAGTTTGAATATAAGCAATTTAGTTGATTAAAGTTGGATGTAACTAAAACAGAAACAGTGATTATAATCAATCTGAAGAAGCGGAAGAAATATTGTTGCTTAAAAACTAACAGTTTATTTTAGCTGTGTATAAAAAGCATTTTTTTTTTATTCTGAATTATAATTAGAACTAAAGCGCCATTTGGGAGTGCTTACTCTTGATGAAACCACGGATAATTAAGAGTTTGTTTTGTTTATATATATTTGAAGTTTGTTATTGCTTAATTTCCCTTGCTTTCTTTTTTTCCCTCAGTCGGCCCGGCCCCCTGTCCCCGTTGATTGGTCGCCTCCCTCTCCACGCCTGCTTTATCATCCAGCTCTGCGCTCCTATCCGGCCGCATAAACATGAGGATACCGTCCCTTTAACGCAACTCTTACCACTGCTCACAGTCAGGGTTTAGACAAGTTTTTCCTTCTTTTTCCCTGTTTTTTTGTGCCAGTCGGGACCTGTATGGCCCCATCGATCGCCATGTCAGCACTGAGCGCCGGTGTGAAAAGCGAAGACCTCTCCCCCCGCTCCCCCAGAGGCGACATGCAGACCAGCCTGAGCCCCGCAGAGGAGACCGAGAAGCCCAAAGTCGCGATCCTGCCGTTCAGCGTGGAGGCGCTGATGGCTGATCGGAAGCCCAGCAGAGAGCTGCCATCTCCGGACGGCGCAGCCGGGACGTCCCATGCGCTGAAGGGGACGCGGATGAGCGCCTTCGCTGGTTTGGATGCTTCCGTTCCGGCTTTGCAGATGAGCTCTGCGTTTTCTGTGGGAGAAATCATGAACATTTCCGAGGACGTGCTGATAAAACCCGAGAGCCCGGATAGTCAGGAGAGGACTTCATGGATGCAGAGTCCACGTTTTTCTCCAACCCCTCCAAGTAAGTCCTATTTAAAGTGCTTGTTAGATAAATTACGCATGGATATATTTTAAATTCAGATTCAACATTTAGCTGTTTAAAACCTGAATATGTCAAAAAAGCTTTTCATCTATTAAGATGTAGCTAAACCGTTTTTTAAATTGTGTTCTTGCAGGACGTTTGAGTCCTCCTGCATGTCCGCTGCGTAAACACAAGACGAACAGAAAGCCCCGGACCCCGTTCACCACGTCCCAGCTGCTGGCGCTGGAGAGAAAGTTCCGCCAGAAGCAGTACCTCTCCATCGCGGAGCGCGCAGAGTTCTCCAGCTCCCTCAACCTGACAGAGACACAGGTCAAAATCTGGTTCCAGAACAGAAGAGCCAAGGCCAAGCGCCTCCAGGAGGCAGAGTTGGAAAAACTGAAAATGGCAGCGAAGCCCATGTTGCCTCCCGCGTTCGGGATCTCCTTCCCTCTCGGCGCGCACGTCCCGGCTTCCTACGCGGGATCGCATCCGTTCCAGAGGCACTCGCTGCCGGTGTCTCCAGTGGGACTGTACGCAGCTCATGTGGGATACAGCATGTACCACCTGGCTTGACAGTAGAGACGCCAAAAGAGGGGAGTAGGACTACCTTTTTCAAAAAGAGATCGGACCCATTTTGGACCAGTGATGTAATAAGCATCCAAGGGGGGAGGTCAGCGGTGCGTCTGGTCAGGCTAGGGTGGGAGCAAGGCTTCCAAACGGACCCACTCTCCTGTCCATACCTGGCCAGTAATGTTCCACTCTGCAAAAAACGTGTTTCATTAGGTCTCACATGTGATATACAAAAATCTGAGGATCAAAACCGTTTTTGTTGTTTTTGCAGTTGTGGAAGATGACCTGTTGATCTTGAAGTCAAGTATTGACACTTAACAGGGCGTCCATGACAGCCAGGTGAGAAATGACAGGATTTTTTTTTTTCAGAGATCAAGGTGTAGCCTCACATTTCTTTGCTGGGAACCAACAAACTTTCATCCACAAGTTGATATCAAACCAAACTAAGAAATCCACACTTTGGCAGTTTTTTTCTTTTTCTTATTTGATCTTTTTTTTATCTTTACATAAATGCACAACCACAGCATGTCAATCAGAAGCCTGGAGAACCACAGCATCTGTTTTTGTTTGTTTGTTCGTTTCTTCAATAACAGCACTGTCTGTTGTCGGATTGATTCCCTTATTTTGGAAGGGAAAACGTGTACTGTAAAGTAATGTATATTTGAAAAAAATATCCTCATTTATATTCTGAATATATTTGTGACATAACTTAACAATAAATTGTTTATTCTTTTTTTCCATAAAGTTTGTCACTCTAAATGACCTTTGTTCACCTTAACAGGAGAAAATCTTCCATAAATCGATTTAAAATCTATTTTAGAGAGATTCAATAGAAAGATATACACACTATAGGGGTTACAGGTTGTAAAGAGGAGATTGATTTGATTAAAAAAACGTAAAAGGCAAAGGTTAAATACGTCTAAACATAAAAAAGTCGGAGACGTTGTTCCACCAAACCTCACTTATAGACTCGCCACATTATATATATATATATATATATATATATATATATATATATATATATATATATATATATATATATATATATATATATATATATATATATATATATAAGACTAGTATATATATATATAGTATATTCTATGCAAAAATAGATGCAGTGTGCAGATATATTTTTCTTTTTTTTTAGGGGGAGATCTTTTTCAATAAAAAGTCAAACATTCTGGAAAATGCTGATAAAACAGCAATAAATTTTAAAAAAAGATAGTAAAACTTATTCTAAGATAAAACCAATGCACATTTAATCCATTATCTATCATAGGGTCTCTGTTTGCTGACACATCAAGTTTGCATTGGATTATAAAGGTATCCTAATCTGGGGGTAAAGGTTTTTTTTTTGTTTGTTTTTTTGCGGATTATAGGTTATGGTGACTTTGAGATAAAATAAAATGATGTCCTGTGGGCTCTCAATCTGACTGAGAGAGGAAAAAAAATAACATGGAAATGGTGTTTTTTATTTATTTTTTTAATGCATTTAGTTTGCTGCTCATAGATTCAAAGCCAATAGAAAAATTGATCCATTCCGATCTAATACCAGTTAACCGATGCATCTCTATTGAAGTCTCAGCTTCCCCCGTGTTGCTTTTTGCTTCGAAACATCTAACACAGATTCTTATGGCGCCAGGAGGAAGCATGAAAATGGTGGGGGGTGTAGTGGACAATCACTTTTTCTGACTTCAGACCAGATACATCATGAAAATGGCCTCTTTGGTGGAAATTGCTCGTGAACAATCCACTGTGACTGTAATTACGCGCGTTTAGGGTGTAAAGTGAGCCCTATGACTCTTCATTAGACATGACTCTTCATAACGACTGAAGGGTTTTTGTTTGTTTGTTTTCTTTGTCAATCCTTGGACCCATACAGAAAACATCGGAACATAAACGTTTAAACTCATTTTGGAACTTGGAAAAAGAAAAGAGGGATCAGATATGAGGCAGGGTGTGGGGGGGATCCGCGGCGCTTTTAAAGGCTTTCTACGGACTTTCCTGTCATTCAGTCAGGGGTTAAACTGGAGTAAAATAATTGCTGTAATGAGCAAAGGCAATCTGCCGCAGACAGAGGCCGGCTCCAGAGAGGCTGTAGCTCCAGGCAAGGCGGAACTTTTATCATTCCTAAAATGTCAACGGGGGACTGGGACGGGCAACACTTTCTGCGCTGTGATTTCCTCCAGAAAGAGCAGCCAAAGCAATCCCTCTTCACTCATTCAGGTAGGCTGACATCCTTTTATATATATTTCATGATTATCTTTACTCTTTGGATCAGAGAGCAGGTATGCGCAATAGCGCGCAGGTATGAATTAATACATAATCCCCGACAATAAGTTTGAATCACACGGATGGACGCTCCTTCTGAAAAGAGCAGAGACTTGACACAAAGGAGCCAAAGGGGAGCAGTCCTCTCTCCTGAAGCCTTTCATTCCTTTGTCCCCCACTGCTCTCTATCCGGCCAGGGGCCAAACACAAAACAAAAAGGCGCTTGTTTATCCCGTCGAAAAGATCACAGGAGGTTCTTCTGACTCCGTAGTAAAACCTCTTGATCCCCAAAGGAGGCAAATAGGTTATTATCCTGGATAAATGATTGTGAAAAGGAGAGGCCTTTTTAGCCTATGAATGGAGGGGAAATTATGGACAATTTTTACTTAAACAAATCTTAAAAGATAATATTTTATATTTTCTTTTTTTTTAATCTAGAAAAGGAAAGACACGATTGAAGGAGCCGAAGATTAAAGCACTGGAGCTTTTATTTAACCCTCTCTCCATGTCTTCATTTTTGGCGCATCAGGTTTTGCGCAGAAAAACCGCAAATGCTCCACGAAGTGTGTGACATAATAACAGCATAACAGCCTATTAAGAAGCAATAGGTAGATAATAAATCAAAACAACTCATATCAATAAAAAATAATAAAAATAAAGAATTGGTACATATTTTTACCTTAATATAAACGGGTATATGTTTTTAAATTTATTTTAAAAATTGTTTCCACAATTCATCATAAAGCCTACTGGCAGTTTTTTTTATTAATATTATTGATTTCACATTATTATACCAAAATTATGGAATATAAAAAATGGCAAATACTCTTTTTTTTTTCTTTTTTTTTTGTTTTATTTTAATAAAAAGCTTGGTCTGTCTTTACATCAATGCAGCTTGATTTCGTGACAGATCCTACACCACCACCTTCTGTTCATAATGTGATTAACATATAGACTCTGATTTAAAAACAAACAAACCAACTAAAAACATGCATATTGTGCATTCACAAAAACAAAAAACAAAAAAAAAACACTCAAACAAATTAAATTAACAACAAATTAAACATTTTATCTGCGATGAATTCATGTAAATTAATGAAAGAAAAAAAAAACAGATAAACCATTATCAAAACTGAGCTGTAGCGCAAAATAAAGATAAATAAAGAGTGATTTAAATGTAACCTTTTAATATGCTTGCATGTAGCTGCGCGCCTGTCCAGCGCCAACATGCAGCCTATAATAACACCACATGAACGCTTTAAATCATTCCTCAAAGATGCCCATCATCGGCAATTTCTTGCGGATGTCTTTCCACTAAAAGCAAGGAGGCTAATAAAACCAGCCTCCTGCAGAAAACCAGATGTTCACCTTTTAACATCAATGCACAGTAATATCACAGTTTATGTTTCCAGGAATAAAACCTAAAATAAGCACAAGGCGCAGGAAGCTTTTCTCAAGGCACAGTAGTAATACATATTTTGAAAACAAGTTAAGTATTTTTTTTTATACTTTCAAGCATATTTTTGAGTTATTTAAAATAAGATATGCTGCTGAAGCATACCTTAGGGGGGAAACTGCTAAAACTTCTCATTACTGAATGATGAGAAATTGATTTGATGTATAAAAATGTCCACTAGAGGGCAGCTTGGTCCTTGCATTGCACAGAGACATCAACAAAGTATTCAACTGAGAAACTGCTGAATCATTAAACTCTATATCGAACATAAATGTGACCTTCATAAGTTTATAAGTTAAACCCAAATAAGATATGTATGCAGCAGAATATTATGGATTACATGCCATTTCTTTACACATACTGATGAGGCAGCATTTCATGAAATTGCAATAAAAGTGCTAAATGTAAATAAAAATAAACAGAACCCCACTGAAGGAATCAGAATCATAAACTGAATGAATGGCTTTCATCATTGTTTTATTTAGGTATCCACATCCAATTCTGACAAAAAGCAACAACAAAAACCCTTTGCCGAGCATTGCTTCTGGCTTTTACAGCAGAGAGATAAGAAAAATATTGTTTAAAGAATATCTTTGGAAATGCAATTTGTAGTTTGTCAAACACTGTTTGGATATGGCAAACACATGGAACAAAGTGCTCTGATCAGATGACACAAAAAAGGTTATTTTTTATTAGAAGAGAAAGGATTTGATTCAGGTGTGGTGGTGTAAGGACGCCTATTGAGGACTAAAGTTAGAGACCCCTGGTTTAGAATGAAAATTGATATTTAAATGTGGCATACACTCAAAAGGAATGTAGAGGCACTGATCCGTACTTTTTAATTTAGAGAGCACAATGGGAAACCAGCTTCATGGGTGTCACTTTCTAGGAAAGAAACAGTGAGACAGATGAGTTCTCAGCTGGTTAACATGTCAAAAGAATGAAAGAGACCACATTGAGTTATCTGGAGTAAAAGCTGAACCCATAGCCATGTCTAGGAGAGAAATTAGGCAAAACACTGAAGAACTGGCCTGGCCAGGCCATATGAAGCTACTATGACTAGAAAAAGCAGAGAGAAAATAAAGTTACAGGTTGAAGTAACTTTTGCAGAGTGAGAAAAAGTTATCTTTATGTCATCCAGCAGTTTAAACCTATAGCAGCATACAGTAACTGCTCAGGATAACCTAAACTACTTTAACCAATTGTTCTACAAGATATTAACTAATTGGGATGAAATACGAGTATTTATCTCAAAACAACTTAAAAAAAAGTGGAATCACAAACCATTGGGTTAAATCCAGGAGCAGTTGGTCACATTGAATTTTGAATTGAGGCACAGTAAAAGGGGTGAATACAAAAAGCACTCTATTATTTTTCCGATTTTTTGGAAGGGCAGAGAATGTGCTGGTCATCTGTTAGGGGAAACATTTCCTTATGTGCACTAATGAGGCAACATTTCCCTAAAAAAATGCAATAAAAGCTCTAAATGTGATGGAAAATTGCCTGAAAACCCCATAAACAAATTGGAATCACAAATTGCATGGCCGCTACTTTAATGTGAACCGGTTTGTGATGTGTTCTTTATGAGGGAATTTTATTTTAACAAAGCAGAGAATGATTACTGATTGTGCAGCGTTTAGCTTTTTTTTTTTTTTTTTGGTACCGTCCCTCAACACTATATTGCAACGGCCACCTGTGGTTTTAATGTTCTGTTCTCGTTTTGCTTTTAAGAGTAGATGCATTGTGCTGCCCTATAATTACGATTAATAAGAACAACAATTAGCCTTTATAAGCACATTGTTGGCCAGTTTTCCTAATAAGCCACATGGTGCTGACTGACTGGTCATTTTAGGGGCTCAACTTTATTATAGCTGCGAGCGGTTCAGACATGATGGTTCAGAAGCAGGGTCTATTTGGAACAAGGTAAAATTCATTTGGTGGATTCTCATTGAGTAGATGTGTCTAACTTTATGTTTCACATGACTCCAGTATGAAAAAAAGGCTTATATTG